TCGTGCATTTGCTTTGGCTCTTTTAAAGGCTATGAGGTTTCGCAGAGTAGGATATCTACGAAAAATACCCCATGCTTTTTTCTGTTTTTTCAGTGCTTCATGACAGTCGCGATTCCACCATGGTTTGGAATATTTTAGTTTTCCTGATGTTCTAGGAATGGAGAGCATAGCTGCCTGAATAATAGTATTAGTAACAGCTTCAACAGCATCATCGATATGCGCATCTTCTACCATTTCATCTGTGAGCTCTGCAATGGAAGAGAAGAGTTCCCAGTCTGCCCTGTCCAGTATAAACCGAGGGAGTCTCGACATGGGGTTTGCTCCTCTTCGTGCAAGAGACACAAGAATGGGATAATGATCACTGTTGTAAAGATCTTTACCCACATTAAAAGTGCAAAAAGGCAACAGAGATGGTGAACAGATGGCAAGATCGAGAGCGTGGAATGTCCTTGAAGGCTCATGGAAGTACGTATCTTGCCCATTATTTAGGAGACAAAGGCTGTGATCTTCGATCATCTGCTCAATTTGTCTTCCTCGGCAATTTGTATCTTTGCTACCCCAGAGTGGACTATGGCCGTTAAAATCTCCTATTATGATAAAAGGCTCAGGCAGCTGCTCTATTAGATTATTTAAAATCTTGCTGATAAATGTGCTCATTTGGAGGCAAATACAAAGAAAACAAATGAAACAACAATATCAAAATTTATTTGAGTAGCGACAACTTGGAGGGATGTCGTCAAAGGACGGAAGTACATTTGAGGGATAATCCAGTGAGGAGAGGAGACCTACTCCTCCACTGGCACGCTCACCTGCAAGGTTATCCTTCCTGACGAAAGAAAAAACCTCGAAGTTTTGCATGGTGTTCTGGTTTCAGATTTGTTTCCTGTATTGCTAAGCACACAGGATGGTACACATTTATTATAGATTTGATGTCAAGCAAATTTCGGTGGAAACCGCGACAGTTCCATGACACGAGGGTGGCCATTATGAATGGTTTTTTGTTTTTCCTGTGCTGTTCTTTTGTTTTTCGTGGAAGTAGATGCCTGGGAAATTCCAGACCCTCTTCCACTTCCATAAAAGTCTGAATCCGCAGATTCAGAAATCATGTCATCAAGAGAGCTATTGCTGCGACTTCTATTTTTATTTGATATTTTTTGTGTGGCAGTTTTCGGCTTACTTTGAATAACTGTTTCTTTTCTTTTGTACTATATGGGTTGCATTTTCTTTTTCTTGTTGGATGTAGCCGGTTGGGTTTTATTTGGTAGGGTCTGTGTGCCTATTGATGTTTGGGTGGCAACTGTACGATATGATTTAACAGCACTGGCGTATGATGAATTTGGTCGAAGCTGTGTGCTCTGGACTAGTCTTCTGGCTTCGGCGTAAGAGATGTTCCTAGTAACTTTTGTAGTCTGGATTTCTTTTTCCGATTTCCATTTTGGGCACAAGCGAGAAAATGCTGGGTGGTCACCCTTGCAATTTATACACAAAGGCGCAGCGGTACAATTATCAGAATCGTGGCCAATCTGTGAGCATCGGGCGCATGTGAGGCTGCCACGACAAGACGTCTTAGAATGGCCGAAACGCTGGCATTGGAAACATCGCATAGGGTTTGGAATATAAGGTCTTACAGGAATATTTAGATATCCGGCCTTAATATTCTTAGGCAGATCAGGCGTGTTGAAGGTAAGGATCACGTGTTTCGTGTCTATCAACTTACCTTCTTTACGCATCTTGATCCGCCTTACACCGCAGACATTTTGTTCGGATAACTCAGAAGCGATCTCTTCTTCAGAAACATACAGAAGGTCGAATTCTGAGATTACACCCCGACAATAGTTGAGTGACTTATGTGGTGTTACAGTGACATTCGCTTGCCCAAGTTTAGTTATCTGAAGTAAAGAAGCAGACTGGGTGGCTGAGTTTGTATCAATAAGCAAGTCTCCGGAGCGGAGACGCTTTATGTTTCTCGGCTCACCAATACAAGACTGGATGTATTTGTTTATTACGAAAGGAGACATCTTATGCATTTCGCCAGAAGGACTAGAGATGACTAGGAAACGAGGACTATTGTTATGATTTTTTTTATTTGCATCTGTCCGTAATTTTTTTGCAGAATTTTCAGAACTAGGTTGAGTGACAGGTTGAGTGACTGGTTTAGTAGTAGACGTTTCAGAACTAGGTTGAATGATTGGTTTATTAGTAGATGGTTCAGAGCTAGGTTGAGTGACTGGTTTAGCAGTATACGTTTCAGAACTAGGTTGAGTGACTGGTTTAGCTGTAGACGTTTCAGAACTAGTTTGAATGACTGGATTGACTTGAGTGACTGGAGTTACCTCGAAATCTTTAATTAAGTAGATATGAGAAGATGCCATAGTGAAAGAATAAAGATTCGGGTCCGACGGCCCCGCCCACCACGGAGCCCAACAAGGGAACACAGATTCCTGTGTTAGGGCTAGCCGGACCTATACGCAAACTGAAGCCCCACAGTCGGCTTTCCCGAAAGCAGGTACTCCCGAGAGCTTGACCCCAAGCCACTGACACAAGGACTAGTGACCAGCCGATTGACACCCGTGAGGACGACTAAGGTGCCTCCCGTTTAGCTGAAGCAGAGGCCAAAGTAGTGTGTTGGGGACAGTACCTCGCCCCTCAACTACCAGGACCCTCCTTTCCAGCGACATGGGTCTCCACGCACGGCAAACACGTGGGCAGTTTTCTCGCCACTCGAAGACTAGAGACAAGGGCTGTTCCAATATCTCGTGACGAGCCCCAAACTCCATAGAGAGAAACCACGAGGGAGAAGAGAAGGGAAAAAGTTCCAGGAAAGAGGAGAGGAGACGGAAAAGAGGATAGATCACTGGGGCTCCAGGATCGTGACACCCGTCTCACCAAGAAGATGATCCCCTGAAGGGCTAGGGTACCTCGGGATTGCCACACCCGTACTCACAAAAGTGAGCCCCCTGAGGGATAAGAATTGCCAGGACAGGACAGGCTCACACTATTGGAGAAAATCTTTTATTATCAGCAGCTAATGATATCATTTTAACATTATTCAATGAAAAAGCGTCTAATGAACATGATAATATTCTGTTATCAAATGATATAGTAAGTCGACGAAGTCATGAAATGGCAATTTGCATAAAAGAGGCAGTTATTAAAAAAATAAAACACAGTGAGTATTTTGCATTACAATTAGATGAAATTACTAATAATGAACTTTGTTCACTTAATAGTTTAGCTACATTTTGAAGAAGACAAACAGATTGCTGAAAAGTATTTTGTGAATCTCTTCATGATAGAGCAACTGCAAATGAAAATTTCAAAGTAGTTGACGATTTTATGTCTGAGAATGATATTCCTTGGAATAAGTGCATAGCTGTAAGAAGTGACAGAGCTTGGCCTTTAACAGGAAAACATTTCGGTGTTATTTCTCAAAACAAAGTTGCATCTTAAACTAAATTTACTCACTGCTCCATTCATCATGAAGTTTTAATAGACGAAAAAATCCCCCAAAACCTGAAAATCGTTTTGATTCAAGCTGTGAAAATTACTTTCATTAAAAGCCAAGCTTTAAATTCAACTAATTTTATGATTTTATGACACAAGATGGGCAGTGAACATGACATGCTCTTGTTACATTCCGAAGTAAGGTGGTCATCTAAAGGCAAAGTTTTAAATCATCTTTTTGAATTTCAATCAGACATTCAAATTTTCCTGTGATTCAAAATTTGAATTGCAAAATTGTTTATTCATTGCAAAATTGAATTATGGTTAGTGCATTTAGCATATTTAGCTGATATTTTTGAAAATTTAATGAATTAAATTTAGGATTAAAAGGACAAAGTGTTAATTTGTTTGAATAGTGATAAGTGATAAAATAAATGCAAGGATAAAAAAAAACTCGATAAAATAAATGCAAGGATAAAAAAAATAGTGATAAAATAAATGCAAGGATAAAAAAAAACTCGAGCTGATAATCAAAGAATTGGATAATAATATTTTAAGCTTTTTACCACTTTTAGAAAGTTTTCTAAACAAACATAATTTTAAAATAAAAGAAGAGTTAGCATCCAAAATTAAAAAATCATTGTTTTTCATAGATAAATAATTTCGACATGTATTTTCCTAAGGATTATGAAAAATAAAATTGGATAATAAATCCAGTTTTGTTCCAATGTACCTGAATTTTCTCTTGTGAAGAAAAAGAACTATTGATAGAAATTTCCTGTGCTTAAACTATAACGAGAGATTTAAAAAATAACACATAAAAAAACACGCATAATATTTTAGAACGATGCTTTATATCTGTTATATATTTTAAGTTGCATTTTTGAGGCATGAAAAATGGAAGTTGAATTTTCACCAGTTGGCCTAGAAGAATAGAAGATATAAAACTGTCCCATTTTCTTTGGAGTCGGTGCACAAGTCAATAAAAAATATAGACTCCTATGTTTGCCACTGATACTTAAAAAACATTTATAGCTCATTGCATAACAAAAAATTTTTAAATTATTATTTTCACTCTTTGATTAGTTCATGAATAATTACTTTCTAAAAAAAGTGTTTTGACACTTTATTGTCAACTAACGTCTAAAAGTGCTCTATTATTTTGATAACAATTCAAATGAAAGTACTCGATAAGTGTTATATTTCTTCTGTATGTGAAATAGTATTTGATGGTGATATTTATTTCTTTAAAAAATCATATTTAAAGTAATGAATTTTGACTTGATAAACTGGTATCTGAAGTTTGGTAAACAATCTGAAGATTATTAAATTTTATAAAAAAATTAAATACTTCTCAAAATTTTTATATTGCTATAAAAGGGATTCCAATCTTATTTTACACCATTTTTGAACTTGAATTATTTTACATTTATTATGTTATTTTTAATTAAATCAGACAGGACAACAGATTTGCTTGTTTATAACTGATGTACAAATAATCTATTTTTACTCCCTATTTTCAAAAAGATTATAAATAAAAAAAATAATAAATATACCTTGTGAAGACATCGAATTCAAAATTTGATATGTAATCATTACATGTAAGGTCTATTGTTGATTTCAGTGCCATAGCTTCTAAACCAGAACTTATAGGATGAACTTCATGAAGAGTTTGCCTAAAGAGCCGCCATGGAACTATAGTGCTGGAGAAGAGAAAATAAACTTGAAAAATCCGTAGCTTTTTTATTAATAACAAGAAGAGACAAATTTTAAAAGAATTCTCTAAAAAAATGGTTACATAAAAAATCAATTATACAAGTTGAACTTTTTCAACCTCACAGGTATTATTAAATCAAGACCTTTAAAAATTGGGCCAGGAGAAGATATCCCTCCCTCTTAATGAGTTCTGTGTGATGAATTCCTGACTAATCTCTTAAGCACTTTTCATTCATTCAGCACTTAAGTGCTCTCTGTACCTGTTTTGTTAAGCAGATGCTCCATAATTTGTTTACAATATTATCACCCAATAGTCGCTATAGTTGTTTTTCTGGTAAAAATATATTTAAGGGTGCCCTTTCCTTGGCAAAAATTGCGATTTTTTAGCAGTACATGGATACCAAGTTTGTGCAGTTCTTTGAATTGCTATTTTGGCTTTGTGCAGCAACGATTTTGCACCAAAAATCACCGCTACACAAAGACAAAACAAGTCAAGGAATTGCACAAACTCGGTATACATGTACACATTGACCTATTTTCACAAAAAAAAAGTTAGAGAATTGTGCAAACTTGGTATTGTGCACTTTCTTAACTTTCCATGTACACATTGATATATTTTCACTTGAAAAATCAAAGGAGCAGCTAACAAAAAATATATAATCTCAATAAAATACATCTTAAATCAAACAATCAAATAACATAAAAAACGAAATTCATCTTAGCACTTACACAAAGGAAATATCGTCTTACCTTATTTAAAAATTTCCCTTTCTTCAGTCAAACAAAATTCCTTAAGAACATTCAAAAAACTTCCTAAAATTATCTGAACTAGAATCTGTATACTGGCGACGGCATATAAATGCACAAAAATAAGAGTAAAAAATATCCCCTCCATAGTGTCGGTGTTCTCCGACATTCAACCATATGCATTTCCTTCCTATGAGCAGAATACTTATAATGGCTACTAAGTAAACCTTTCATTTACAAACCAGTCAAATAATGCTCTTTTCCCTTTTCATTCCAAATCATACAGAAACTTCGAATTAATTTTACCACATTTTACCATTTAAACCACAAAGCTAGCAATGTACTTCCTAACCAACACACACCACAAGCCCTTACAAATTTTTTCCCATAATTCAAAATTTACCACTATCACACAACTGATTATGTCATAATAGGGTTTTCATAACATTCAACTACTCAGGTTACCATAAATGAAACAACTTGGCGATAAATGAATCAACAACTTCGCAAAATACAAGGGGCACCCTTCAATCTACCCTAGCCAGTTTTCCTTGTTCTTGCTTCTTTACTAATTTTGGTCCTAGATAGAATTACATATTATATAATATGAATGTTGTTACATTAAAAAATTCATTTTCATATTTCGTTCATGTGATGTAAGAAAAACATTGTTCAACCTAGACCTGAAAAGAAGAAAATGTGTCTACTTTGGATGAAAAATGGACCCATTTGCCTCCCTTCAGAAATCCTCACACTTAGGCTTGAAGTAATTGGCAAATAACAAATACAGAGACTACAGCAGCAAAAGAAGTTGGAGCAAACAGGAAAAGGAATTCTTAATGGCCCTACTTCACCTGCTATGGGATTTTACCAAACGAACTACCTATGAAATTCATAGGAATAAAAAAAGATTAAACACAGAAAATGCATGATTAATTAAAAAACTTGACATTTTCATTTTATACTGTTTAAACTTTAAGAAATTTCCAGCAAATATAAATCATGAATGAATAACATTCAATTTCATGTCTTTCAATTAAATAACAGTTACAGTCAACTCCCAATTTAACAGGGTAATATGGAAGAGGATATGCACAGTTAGCTCAAAATCATGATTAACCCAAAGCCAGTTGCTGCCCATACTGCAAAGACACTGATTTCACACTTGATCCGTTTTCTATTTTACTTATTGTTTCAAGCTTCTGATGAATGGAACAGGGTTCGTACACATTTCTGCACACGGAAATTAAGTACTTTTAAGTACCGTTAATGAGGAAAATTAAGGATCGACGAGCAAATGGGAACTGAATAAATTCAATTAAAAATATTATCTATGCCTGAATTTCACTTTTGTAATACCACCCTAAAAATAAAATACATCCCTAAGTAGTATACATTATTACTAAACATGAATTAATGAACTTAATTATTAATAAGTTTGAGAATAAAATAAACTTTATGCAATTTATCAAGCAGCATTAAATATTTTACACCTATAATAGTTGTCATATATGAAAGAAGATAAGTAACATTTACGTTTTACAGTTAGCTTTATGTTGACATTTTTTGTCTCATTTTGTCACATGCTTGGTCAGTCTAGAGGTTTAGTAAATAGCAGGTAGATTTCATGTCAAACGGCATAGGTTAAAATGAGAAGTAAGATCATAATCAGTATGATTCATAACCAAAAGACTGAATGTTATCACCGCTGCTGCTTGTCTAAAGAGAGACCTGCTGATCAGAACAAACCTGAAAGGCCTGATGTAGGCACGGTTGGCAACTGTTGAAAGTTAGTCAGGCTTTGTTTGTTGCAGCTAGTGTCGTAGCTTCATGTAGAGTTCCAGGGCTTGTAACCCAGTTAATATACTCCATATATAAGGCTCCAATAAGCCTTTTAAAACACCAGAGGTGATAAGTTATTTTGTATTATTTTAAGTCTCACTAGATGCAAAGAATAAGTTTTACTTGAATTTTTACATTTTTGTGCTTTATCTTGTGACCACAGTGAGTATTAATGAAGGGCAATAAATAACTCACTTTATTATGTAGAGATATTTTTTATGGGTAAGCAGTTAGTTATAAATAATTAAATTAGGTAATCAGATAATCTTAGTCATTATGGATTTACATGGTCACTAAAAAATTTTATTTTTTAACAATATTTGTTAAAAAAGCCCTATTAAAATCTAATAAAATTTCACAGTTTAAAATACATGTAATTTATGACATTGATTCTTAAACGATATTAAAACGCATTAAAAACTATGTTTTGTAACAGCAACACTCAATAAAATATTTATCCATCATTTCAATTTGAAACCTTCCCAAACATTTTCGCTAGTTTATAATCGATTTCCTTCTCTTTAACTACGAGGCACGTCCAGAAAGTAAGTTCCGTTTCAATTTATCTCCGCTGCAGCTCTGCGATCGCAGTTCCGCACATGCGCAGTAGACGCTCTGTATCAAGGAGAAGTGCGCTATTTGGAGATCACTGTCAGTCACATACGCTTTGTTGTGCTTGTTTACAATGTCGGTGTTGATTGAAAATCCCGCCGCTTGTGAAATCAGATCTGTGATTCGTTTTCTGAATGCGAGGAAAGTGAAACCTAGTGAAATTTATCAGCAAATTTGTGATGTTTACGGACCAAAAGCGATGAGTGATTCAATGGTGAGAAGATGGGTCCAAAAGTTCAATGACGGACGTAGTGATGTGCACGATGAAGAACGAAGTGGGCGTCCATCTTTGGTTACAGAAGAACTGGTTCACGCGATTGATGACAAGATCCATGAAAACCAAAGGTTTACAATTAGTGCTCTCGCTATGGAATTTCCCCAAATTTCACGATCACTAATGCATGAAATTGTTACCGAAAAACTGAAATTTCGTAAACTTTGCTCACGTTGGGTACCAAAGATTCTTACTGAGCAACACAAAACAAAATGGATAGGTAGTGCACTTCAGTTTTCGACCCGTTATGCTGAAAGCGGCGAAGAATTTCTGACACAGATAGTCACAGGAGATGAAACTTGGGTTTCTTACGACACCCCTGAAAGTAAGCGGCAATCAATGGAATGGAGGCACACTTCATCCCCAGCAAAGGTTAAGCCGAAGCAAATCTTAACACCTCGAAAAATGATGTGCACAGTGTTCTGGGACTGGAAAGGCATCTTACTCATTGATTTCTTACCGTGTGGTCAAACAATCAGAGCAGATGCTTATTGCGAGACACTTCGGAAATTGCGCCGCGCAATACAGAATAAGCACTGAGGATTGCTGTCAAAAGGTGTTGTTTTTCTTCACGACAACGCACGACCACACACTGCAAATGTGACGAAAAACCTCCTACAGGGATTTGGCTGGGACATGTTTGACCATCCTCCGTACAGCCCTGACCTCACTCCTAGCGACTTTCATCTGTTCTTACATCTTAAGTCTTTCCTTGGCAGTCAACACTTCAACAATGACGACAATCTGAAAGAAACTGTTTCCAACTGACTGAAGACACAGGCGGCAAATTTCTATGAAGAAGGTATACAAAAACTTGTGCCACGCTATGACAAATGCCTGCAATATTTCGGCAGTTACGTGGAAAAGTAGTTTAAGAGTTGTTGAATTTTGTGCAATAAATAACTTTTCTGTAGCTGTACACAATTTACTTTTATTACCAAACGGAACTTACTTTCTGGACGTACATTGTATCTTTTCTAACAATTAGAAATTTGTCTCAATATGCAAAACAATGCTCTTGCTAGTTTCTGTCTGCTTTATCTCCTAACTTGTCAACCTTTCAACAATGTACTTATGAGGGTTTACTTGATCTAGTAAAAGTTAAATAGTCCAAAACCCCCGACAGACGTCAAGCAAATTATCGCTATGTCTGAAAGTAACTTCAATATCAGACAAAGGTTTAAATAAGACTCTTAGTTAAAAAGTAACTTAGAACATAAAAGCATGTTCTGATGCTAACAAAATCAATTAAAGTCAAAAGTCTAATCCGGACTCGTCAGGACTTCGGCGATTCCGGTTATAGATCATCAGTTTAAATCTGGTACGATTGGCATGCAGAAATTATAAAATTAAAATTATGAAACCGTAATTTATGAAATAAAGAGCAATTATGATCTAACGGGTATCAAAATTTACAAAAAAAAAAGCTTAATATTTATTTGTTTACTTTATTAAACATTCTTTCAACGCGTGCATGCGTAAAGCATTTATTACGCATAGTCGAAATTACAA